AACCAAACGGGCCTTAGAGATTTTTTGTTTAACAATTTTAAGTTAATCAATGGTAGGCCCTAATAGGCGGCTTTATTTCTTATTACAATGGAAGTTTACAGCTCATTTGTTCTGTTTTTTCCCTATGTTTTTTTTACAGCAAGGAAATGAATTGTCATTTCTTTAAAAAATATAATATAAATATGAAAAATATAAAAATAATAAATGACTTGTCATTTTGGGTTTTTATCTTAAACATATACAGTACTAATTTATTTCTAACTATGAGTTTGGTAATTCTAATTACAGGTCAAATTCAAAGGGACAGCAATAGGTTTTGACTTTTGATCTTATTAATATGAAAATTTTATCATCTATCGTGTGATATATTATCATTTATTACATAAGCAAGATATGATGATGGCTTAATTGTTTATGTTATTCAATCTATTGTCTGACCATAAAAATTCATTATAAAAGTAATTATTTTTAATTTAATTATATTTGTAAATTTAATATTTTTTAAAAGTATGGAGTGATTATAAGATAATATACGTTCATAACTTTTTTAATCTTGTATTCAGAACTTTAAGAAGAACAATATTTCCTTTAACCATTCATACTATTTGATGGATTTAATATCTCATATTACTAGATCAACATTTAATTAATAATATCAATTTAATTTTTTATAGACTTTTTCACATAAATTTGGAAGAAAAATTAATTTTTAATCGTTGAAGTTTAATATTTTTTCGTAACTAGATATCTAATTTTCCTGTTTATATTAATCTTAAAACTTAAAAGCTTTATGTATTTTTATGACTATAAAATTATGTTGTGTGACATACTTTCATAATATCACATTATCAAACAGAAAAGAATCTAACTTAAGAAATTAATATGTAAAAATAAGTTTCGTAATTAAATTAAAAAATTGTTTTAAAAAAAAATTTATGGATATTTTATTATCTAAATTCAAAGTGCATTGTTACATATACAATGTATAAATATTCTTAATTTATATATATATATATATATATAAAGATAATAAATTAAAACAATAAAAATATTTAATAAAATAAATTACATTGTACAATGGAGAACACGTATGACGTTTTCCTATTTTTCATTTTTAATAAAACATCATTTCCGCATGACGTCTTCTTTGATCGTGAGAGAAAATAAAATTTCATTTTAAAATATAATTTTAAAGTAAATTAATCTTATCGATATATTGGATATATTTCTAAGGGCCGTTATGTATCATCTCTTTTCTCTATCTATATAAGATTTAGTCCTTGTACTATAATTTTTCCTATTTTGACATTTAAAGAATTTTTTATATAAAAATATTTTTTGTATTTATGAAAATTCAATTTTGTAACATAAAGAACATATAAAAAATAAAAAAATTATAAATAAAAATATATTTTTAAAAGTTGTTAGAATATGACCTATAACCTATTAATAAATTGAAAAGAAAAAGACTTAATGAAGTCTAAAGCCCTTATCAAAAGTCTACTAATATCAACAACCAAAACTAAAAACTTCCTAAAAGAATGAAAGAAAAATATTTAAGAAAGAAGAAATAAAAAAACTCTTTAAAAATATCAATTACTATTTAATCTAACCATATAAGATATTGAATTCATTAAAAAATATAAAGTTTAAATTTTAAAATTACAAATGAAAAAAAACGAATGTTAATAATATTAAAAAATATATAAAAAAAACACATGGTCTAATACGTTTTTAGTTTGATATATATTATGGCTGAAGCTACATGAGCGTGTGCGAATGTGAAGCTGAAAAATAAAATTGTAATTTCTGCCCACCAACTTTGACCCATCTCCTTAAAGCAAAAGGCCAATGCCATGGACCCATTTCCTTGGACTTCAAAACATCTTTGGTTGTTTCACATAATCCTCAGAATCCAAATGTATATGCCATGGCAATGCCTGCGTTCTTCGGAATCAAAAGAAATCCGGGAAGAAGATGACGTCGTCCTCCACGAATAAACCGAAACAAAACAACCGGAATTTCTTCACCATTCTTTCCTCCAGAAGAGCTTCAACCATCTAACAACGTTTAGCTATGATATATATATATATATATATAGCGTAGAGGGATATTTGTAGATTGCTTTTTAAAGGGCTATTCTTGTTTTATGTCGTTTATTTTGATAGCCGAGAGGTTTTCAGAACCAGATAGGTTAGCGAACCGATCATGTTATTGGTTCACTGGTTCAACCGGTTGAACCGGTCTGACCGGTCGAAAGAACCGGACGTCATAATTATTTAAAAAATTAAATAAAAATACCAAAAATATTTAATAAAAAATAATTTTGTATATCACAAGTCATATTTAAAGCAAGTCATAACATATATAAGTTAAAAACCATAAAATCAAGTGAAACAAAATGATTCAAATTAACTACAACATAATATTTAAGGTAAAACATATTAAATAATAAATATAATTATATAACTATAATTAAAAAATAAATTTGGGGTTAAAAAAATCATAACAAAATGATATTGTTTGGTTTAATTTTTTTTTTAAAACAAACTCACATGGCTAAGAAACATAGAAGAGCATCCCAAAAGTTTAAAGAGAAAATATGAGAATAAAACAATCCCACATTACTAAGAAACATAGAAGAGCATCACAACTAATTTCTATAAATAATAGAGGTAATTTGATATTCAAAATCATGGAGCCTTTTGGTGAGCATTGAGTGAACTATTCTTTCACTTCAATCAAGTTCGAATTTTAGGCTTTAATCGAGCTTCTAATTTTTTTTTAGTTCAAGCCTTTTTGAGTTCAAGTTTCGATATTATATTTCGAGTTTGAGTTGAACTTGATAATTTTTAGCTTGTGAGTTTGAGTCGAGTTGAGCTTACTTTTAAAGTTTTTAAGTTTAAGTCGAGCTTAGCAATACTTGAGTTCGACTTGGCTCGTTTAACAAACGACGTTGCTTGTTTTTTTTTTTTTTAAAACAAAATTTCCGGTTTTTTGTCGGTTTGGTTCAAACGGTTCAACGGTTCTGGTCGATTCACTAGTAGCGTTTCAACCGGTTTAGATTGAACTGGACTAACACACGATTCCCGATTCAACCGGTTGAACCGGCCAGTCCGGTCCGGTTTTCAAAACAATGGCTAAGAGGGCCAGAATTTTAGGAAGAACATTGGAGGTTTCTTAGTTCTTCTTAAGCATTGTTCCCAGATTGATTAGAAAAAGATTATATATGTATATATGCTTTCAATATTCTCAATCTTTGATTTGGTAGTTTTAGATTTCAATACATTATAAATACTGTAAAAGTAATCGTTTATGATTTAATGCAGTTGCAAATACATCTATCGACTCCGATCTGTAAAGTCAGATCTGACTGCGGGAAACCAACCAGTCAACGATCCACGTAAAAATTATATCAAAATTACAATTTTAAAAAATTATATTAAAAATTTTAAAAGATGTAAAATTATAAAATTTTAAAGATTATAAAATTAAATAATCAATAAAAATATTTAAAATATATAAAAAGTTAAAATTTTTAGAAGTACGACCATATTTTATAGGATCTCAATCCATCCCTATATCCGATACGCCTGAGAAAAGTTTGTCTAACTCGGGATTCCAGAATCCGATACGCCTGAGTTGCGAAATTTGAGACCGCGTTGTAAATTTGTTGGTCATTTTGGTAAATCAAAAAAAAAAATGATTAAAATCATATATTAACAATAACAAACAAATACAATCGAAATCAATATTAGTTGACAAAAAGCTTGGTTTTATTTTTAAATCTCATATTAACCTTAGGATGTGTGAATTCTTAATTTTACATCGTCCATTTACGTCGGGTAAAAGACCTTGAGATAGACGTAATCCTCTTTTGTTTTCATCCTAATTTTTTTTTTACTTTATTCTAAAGTTTTGGATATGTATTAATTAGTATTGCATTTTTTAGAGGTTGTTGAGCCACCTTTTTATTTCATATATGAGAAGCAATCTGTCAAATTACATACTACCATTTATTTATTGGTTTTTAAAGTTTTGATATTTAATAATTAGCTTACCATTTACTAAAGCCAGTAAGTTTGTACATTGGGCATGCAATTTATGCATGATATAATTTTACGTATAGATACAAAATTGTTACTCTTGCTGAAAAATTAAGAATATATTTTTAAAGACATTACGTAGTTTATGTAAATGAAACGTAACTGTGGATTTTTTTAAAGTGAATGAAATCATTTAGTGGGTGGATGCAAAGTGGGTCTTGAAATCATATTATAAGGCAAAACTAAATCATTAGTTCTTGAAGGTTAGAGTGTAATTTTTTTAAATTAAAAAGTGATTATAAAGTAATATTTGTTCTAAATACTCGTACACATTTGACAATAAACAAGAGTCCAATTTTTTCATTATACTAAATTAAAAGTTCAAATTGTATTAGTACTGTAAAGAAATTGTATCATGTTTGGACGGCAAGGCCACTATTTGTCATTCTTAATTTCAATTTTAGTATTATAAATGAGGCAAATTAAGTAGAAAGAGTTGTTTCGTAAAGAACTTTCATACCTAATCTTAATTAGTTGAATATTTTATCAAATTATGATAAAAATGTATTTAATCAATTATCAATTGGTCTAAATAGAATAAAAATTGAATTTCTTAAATAATATTTAAATTCTAATGTTTTGAATTAAGCAAATTGAATTAATTTAAAAGATCGATTTACATTGAGCTTTTATTATACTTAATATAGCTTAATTTTTCAACAGATCAAATATCAGATAATTATATTAAAAAATGTATATTTGATCAAATATCAATTGGTCTAAATAAAAACTACATCTATTATATAAGATTTAAATTCAAGAAATTTTTTAATAGAGTATATTAAATTGGCACTTGAAAATTTCATTTTATGATATTCTTCTATAATGTTTAATTTAGATTTATTGATTAATTAATTATATATCAATAGTTATATATAAAAAAAAAGTAATTGTATGTTGTATTAGTATTTTTTAATTGACAAAATTACCCTCTGTTCCCTCCATAATCCCCCACTTCCAATTTTCCGCCGATTTCACTGCTCAGTCTGTTCGTTGTCAATAATGGAGAAACTGAAGCAAGCAGTGAAAGAGATCGCCTACGGTCAAAACCAAGCTAAGTTCTCCAATCTTCATCGCTCTCTTATTCCTTTCCTTTCCTATGCTTCTTCTCTCTACGGCGCCGTTCTCTATATTCGTCATTCGCTTTACCGCTCTGGTTTCTTCTCTAAGAACAGGTCCGATAATATATTGAAGCTCAGTTTGGAGGAAATTAAAAAAAAATCAATTTTTGTTTAATTTATTTAGTGGGTTTTTATTTTTTGAAGCTTGCCGGTGCCGGTAATCAGTGTTGGAAATTTGACGTGGGGAGGAAATGGAAAGACTCCAATGGTTGAGTTCATAGCGAAGCGCTTAACTGATTATGGAATTTCATCTCTCATTTTGACAAGGGTATTCCTTCTTATCGGTACTGGTACTACTTTAATTATTGCATTTGATTTTGAATATAGGAGCTGTAAATTTATACTGGTGTTTTGATTTGGAAGTATGGCCATTGGATTTAAGTAAGTTCGAGTGGATTGTAATTGTTTGTGTTTTTGAATTCCTATGTTTAGTGGCAAAGAATAGAGCTGAATTATGTTTCTCATTTGCTGTCACTTTCAATGGAGCTAAAAATTGGTTCTCTTGAAGGGCTATGCTGGTGGAGATGAAGCTAAAATGCTAAAAAGGCATCTAATTGGGAGGGCAGTAAAAGTCGGCGTGGGAGCAAATAGGGTGGCCACAGCCAATTTGGCATTTGAAAAATACGGATACGTAGACTATCGTGGTGGTAAATTCGTTGAGAGAACCTATCTTGACCCAAAAATGGGAAGTCATATTGATTCACAAAAAATTGGTGCTGCAATTCTGGATGATGGAATGCAGGTATTACAGTTTCTTCCATGTTCTTCTCATTGTTCTGTTGCATGTCTTATTGTATATTCGAATGAGTCGGTTAGTTTTGTGTTATATGGCCAAATGACTTCTCTTTATAGTTCCATATTTCTTTCTAAGCTAATGAATACATTTAGATGCTAACAGTTCATGTTCCTCGGAATTGATATTCTGGTATATTTAGTTTCTGCTCTTTCCTTTATCAGGGAAGTTTTGAAGGGGGGGGGGGAACATTTTGTGCATTTAGGGTTTATGCTGATAAGTTATTAATCATGTATATGGAAGGCAGTATTGGAGCTTAAGTCGTGACCTAGAGATTGTAATGATTAATGGATTAATGCCATGGGGAAACGGCAAACTACTTCCTCTTGGACCCTTAAGAGAAGCTTTAACAGCGATCAGACGAGCCGATATTGCTGTAATTCATCATGCTGACCTGGTACGAAGAGTTGAGCTTGAACTGTGCACTTTCCTAGAAGATACTTTCTAATTTTACAACAAAAGTTGTGTATATTTTGCTTGTAATTTTGTAGCCGAACTACGTGAAGAAGTTGTCTAAAAGCTCGTGCTCCAAAATCGTGGCAGGTACCGGAACAAAAGGTCAAAGTTATCGAGTTAGTGGTTCAAGAAATCAAGGAGTCACTTCCTATTTTTTATACAAGAATGACTCCCTCATATTTATTTGAACCGAGAAATATAAGCAAAAAGATGCATTTGGAAGGGTTGCATGATGCAGTCGTATTATGTGTTTCTGCAATTGGTTTTCCTGATGCTTTTGTGATGGCGGTGGAAAAGGTTTTACTATTTTATTTTTTGTTATCTCTTTTCCGGTTTAATTAACATGTTATGCATAATGGACCATTGTTTCTCCATGATAGTTATTTTAGTGGTGAATGACCTGCTGCAGATTGGACCGTTATTTGTTGATCAAATCGACTTCAGTGACCATCACTCATTTGGAATCGAGGTAAAGCACCTCTTCTCCTTTATATCCCAGATTTATTTTTTCCGAGAAATCGCGTTCTCATTTCCCCATGTTGATGAAATGTAGGATATTCATATGATAAGAAAGCGGCTTAGACAACTTGAGGACAAGTTCAGTTGTAAGCCAATTATTGTAGTTACAGAAAAGGTGAGTAACCAAGAAAGCTGGTTTCGGTAAATGCAGAAGATCTCCCTTATAACGAATCTTTAAGCATGTTGAACTTGATTTTACCAGGACTACGATAGAGACCCCGAGATTCTGAAACATATGTATCCTTTTCAAGTTGTCGTACTCTGTTCCGAAATGCAGATTATACCTCGTAAGGGGTGCGACGAGGAAAGCTTCAAGTCGTTATTGAAGGAGCTACTTGAAGTGTAAATGTGCATCTGATGCGGATTAAATTTCTGCTTTTAGACACAGTAGTAATTGCTCATGCTATGCAGTGACCAAAGTTGCTTGAATGAACATAGAACCAGCAACATATTTAAAGAGTTTAGATTGTCCTTGCTCTTGCACACTAGTGTTTAGTGTTAGAGTTTGTTATGGTTTGTTATTAGCTTGTTATTAGTTGTTATTAGTTTGTTATAGTTGTTGGTTATTTGGGCTATATAAGCCACACTTATATTAGATTGTAGGCAGAGTACTTTCTTCAATGATCAATAAAATCTTCATTCTGTCATCTCTCTATCTTTAAGTTTCCTCCTCCTTCATTTGAGCTTTCATCATGCTTAGCCTCCATGGCAGCATTCTCATATGGTATCATTCGCCAAAGATCCTGATTTCATCTTTCTTCTGTTGTTGCCATTCCATTGCTTTCTTCAACCTTGAGAAAACTAAGAAAAAAGTATATTCTCAGCCATGGATCCAACACTAGCCACATTTTCATCACCGTGCATCGCCGTTCTCCCCTTGAAATCACTCCCTTCGTCTTCTTCGTCGGCCCTGTTGCTCGCTTTTCCTTCACCCAATCCCCCTAGGCTCAGGGCTTGTTGTTCTGTAAAGCCTGATTCCGTTGCCCATAAGCTTCAATCGTTCGCCAAGACGGCTTTTTTGGTCGGTGCCACGGCTTTGATGATTGGGAGATTCTCATAATTCCCTGCCCTAGCCGATCCTGTACCAGTAACGGTGGTTAAAAACGAACCTGCTTTGCCGGTAGAAAAGGAAGCGGATGATCTGAAACCAAAGCAAACTTCATCGCTTTATGAGGAAATGAAGGCGTTCAAACGCATGAAGGTCGAAAATCAAGAAGAAGAAGCGACAGTTATCAACTTGAAGCGCTTGGTTTTTGCACAACCGGATGTTGTTGTTGGAAATTGTTGTTGGGAAGGTTGTTGGCCGACATGGGTCAAACCGAGAAAGCGCGCAGACTGTTCGATGAAATCCTTCAATCGGATCCGTTCGGTTACGAGACCTTGTACGAGTACGCTTTGTTGATAGATCGTTGCGGGGAAGAAGAAGTTGTCCTCAAAAGGTTAGAAGGGGTCGTAGCCCTTGCCGAAAGAGAGAAGAAAGCCAAAGAAGCCAGAGATGTTCGATTCATAATTTCCCAGTTATACTTCCTCCAAAACTCAATTCCTCTCATAAGTGTCAAATAGTTTCATTTTTTCATAAATGTGGCCTCAAGTGCCCTTCCGGCTGATGGGTGCTCAGTGAAATATTGTTGTATTTGGAGACCTCTCGTTACTGCTGTACTCGATGTTCTTCCTCGTTCTATGTTGTGTGTTGACGAAGAACGCTATATGTGTAATTTAACCAACAACTTTAAGGTGTTCATAGAGTATCGTTCATCACTTGTTACTTCTTCTCCAAAGTTTGACATGAAACTTTGAGGCTTAACAATCAAGTTACCATAAAAGAAAATCTCTGGGGAAGGTTAAGAGTTTAACAGTCTTGCCTTCCTTAACTAGACAAAATAGGATGTTTTATTGCCCAAGAGAGGCTTCAGATTGCATCCGGGAGCTCGTAGCTTAACCGCCTTGCTTCCAACAAAAAGAAAGTCCCAATAAGTGAAGAGGAAGAACACTGAAGAAAAAAAAACCTCTTGAAAAGAAGAAGAAAAGCCGAGGGAAGTTGAAGAAAGAAGATGTTTTAGGTGAAAGAGAATTTGTCCGGTAAATTGTTCATCGAGACGGCAAGACGGCTGAATTCCAGCTTATTAAGTTTGCACTCTTTGTTTGATCAACTTTCTAATAGCAAGTTTATTTTTAAGAAAATTAAAAGGTGGAAAAGTATAGTGAATGTTAGAGTTTGTTATGGTTTGTTATTAACTTGTTATTAGTTGTTATTAGTTTGTTATAGTTGTTGGTTATTTGGGCTATATAAGCCACACTTATATTAGATTGTAGGCATAATACTTTCTTCAATGATCAATAAAATCTTCATTATGTCATCTCTCTATTTTTAAGTTTCCTCCTCCTTCATTTGAGATTTCATCATTCTTAGCCTCCATGGCAGTATTCTCACATTTAGTTTAGGTTTTAGCATATCAGATTCGGTTCAATTTTATAAGAATTACCATTTGGTTTCGGTTTTGAACTTTTAAAACCTAAAATATTACTTATTAACTGAAATTATATTTGGGTGAAGTATATAAATAGTCACTGAATTCGATTATATATATATATTAATGTGTTGGGTGAGGATCTTAACATATGATCTCTGTTCTTCAAAACTATCGTAAAATTGCATAAAATGGGAAAGTAATTAGGAGTTGCATATTGAGCGTTTGCCGGCTTTAAAATAAAATAATAATAATTAAAGCTGGAAAAGGCATTCTCTAAATTCCAGGAAAATGGGATCCACATGTTTGATGTCTGTCTTCTCCACTCGGTTTGTCTGATCAATTTGGTGGGTTCCACGTCAACCCAGATTTTATCAAATCCGACACGCGCTTACAGCTTTCTTATTCTTAATAAAGCATCGAATATTTCTTTAGGCATAAAAAGAATATGGTAAAATATAGTAATGATCACTGAATTTTTTTAAAGTTTTTATTTAGGTCTCACAACTTTAAAAATTACAATACAATCCTTCAACATTTAGTCCGTTTACAATATGGTTTTTGACGTAGCCGGCCATTTGACGCCTTTACATTGTCGTTAATACATTTGCAATATGGTCACTGAACTTTTCAGGTGCTTGCATTTAGGTCCCCCAACTTTTAAAACTTACAACACGGTCCTCAATTTCATTCTAAACCTCAAATTCTTTTTCAATCTCGAATTTCCTTTTTCGCTTCTCTCTTCTCATTTCCAGCATAATTTTTCAATCGGGGATGTATGGGAAATTCTAATCTAACTTTGAATTATGTGGAGGTGTTAACTTGAATAAGGGTTCATTGAGTGAAAAACCGACCAAGAGACTATCAGGACCATCAACAATTCAAGGTGTAATGTTAGATACAAGTCATCTCAGGTAAAACATAGATGTTTGATGAAATGCTTGTGAGAAATAAATGGGGTTAGAAATGCAGAGTTGACAACTACTACTAAGATGAACTAAATATGATTGTTGAAAGTCACCAACAAAGCTGGAATTATTTTGTATAAATGACATAATAATTTATTCGTTTAATCCTTGTGGTTAAAGATTTTCCAACAAATGATCAAATATAATGAAATCACAAACAATGCATTCATCTCTCAGTCTCTTTCGCTCATATGCACTGCCGTTTGGTTTTTGTTCTACAATTTTCCGCCATGTAAAATTGTAAACCTAAGCAGTGCTCTATCTTTCAGCCTTTTATTTACAAAGAAAAAAATGGAGGAATAATTGTTGGGATGCAACATCGATTGCGTTTAGTCTCTTCCCTTACTAGCAAGAAGGTATTTATTTTCTCTTTTGGGCTATCCGGAAGTAAGCTTTTCCTCTTTCACACTTTCCTATTTTCAACTCGCATTGTGTGTTTTTTGTTGAAATTTTTATGTTTATAGAACTACATGTCAATGATCTGGATATTCAGTGTTAGTTTTGAACCAAAACAATCTAATTTTCTTTTTTTCTTCTTAAGAAAAACTTTTAGTACTCCTTATGAAAGATATTCAATCCATTAGAATAGAAATAAAAGAGGGTCTTAGGCTAAATTTGTTAGATCTTCTTGTTTGGTTTTTCTTTAAATGAGGGAATTGGTTGTGAGTATCGACATAGTGAAATCGCCAGGCTCAATCCGAGATACTGCTTGTACTAGTTTACTGGGAATTGTATTGATCAGACATGTGGTTTTTGGCGTCTGTGAGCTCGTATTCTTTTTAATAAGTTCACGTTGATTATGGGACTGATATATCGTAAACGAATTAGATTTTTTTACATGTTTTTGAAATTGAGAACTGTGTAAGTTTTAAATGTTGAGGGACATAAAAGCAAGCGCCTGAAAAGTTCAGTGACCATATTGCAAACGTACTAACGGTAGTGTAACGATGTCAAACGGCAGGTTACATCATGGAACATATTGCAAACAAACTAAATGTTGGAGGATTGTATTGCAAGTTTTAAAAGTTGGGGGACCTAAATGAAAGCTTTAAAAAAGTTTAGTGACCATTACTATACTTTACCTAAAAGAAAAAAATTAAATATTCTAAATATTAAGATTCAGGGATGCATGGGAAATTCTAATCTAACTTTGAATTATGTGGAGGTGTTGACTTGAATAAGGGTTCATTGAGTGAAAAACCGACCAAGAGACTATCAGGACCATCAACAATTCAAGGTGTAATGTTAGATACAGGTCATCTCAGGTAAAACATAGATGTTTGATGAAATGCTTGTGAGAAATAAACGGGGTTAGAAATGCAGAGTTGACAACTACTACTAAGATGAACTAAATATGATTGTTGAAAGTCACCAACAAAGCTGGAATTATTTTGTATAAATGACATAATAATTTTTTCGTTTAATCCTTGTGGTTAAAGATTTTCCAACAAATGATTAAATATAATGAAATCACAAACAACACATTCACCTCTCAGTCTCTTTCGCTCATATGCACTGCCGTTTGGTTTTTGTTCTTCAATTTTCCGCCATGTAAAATTGTAAACCTAAGCAATGCTCTATCTTTCAGCTTTTTATTTACAAAGAAAAAATGGAGGAATAATTGTCGGGACGCAACATCGATTGCGTTTAGTCTCTTCCCTTACTAGTAAGAAGGTATTTATTTTCTCTTTTGGGCTATCCGGAAGTAAGCTTTTCCTCTTTCGCACTTTCCCATTTTCAACTCGCATTGTGTGTGTTTTTTTTGAAATTTTTATGTTTATGGAACTACATGTAAATGATCTGGATATTCAGTGTTAGTTTTGAACCAAAACCATCTAATTTTCTTTTTTTCTTCTTAAGAAAAACTTTTAGTACTCCTTATGAAAGATATTCAATCCATTAGAATAGAAATGAAAGAGGGTCTTAGGCTAAATTTGTTAGATCTTCTTGTTTGGTT